ATTTGGAGAAAATAAAAGATAATATTTTTATGATTTAAAAATGATTTTCTTTAAAGAGGAGATTGTTGGAAATTAAAAAATCGAAATGATATCTTTAAGTAAAAAATGATTTTGGAAACCCTACCTAGATGGTGGAAGGAATTCAAATCATGTTTTGAAAAGTTTCATTCTGCTTAGATGTTAGGGAATTAAAAATTAAAAATAAATTTAAAAAATTAAAAAAAATTTCCTTTACAAACAAAAAAAACTACTAAACACAATTGTTTTTCTTTTTTTATTTTATTTTGGAAAAAAATTGAAAGAAAATAGTATAGAATTTAAAAATGCATAGCATGGATTAAATTAGTTGTTTCAATTTTTAGTTTGCATCTTTGCATCATTCATTTTGTCTCATGTTGCATTTAAGGTAGAACTTTTAACAAAAAAGGGGAAATACAAATATTGAATTTAATTCAAAAGTTCGCCTAAATATTGGTGATAATTTAAGAAGTTCGGGTTATCGACAATTCTCATTTTTCTTATAGGAAAAATTTTGAAAGTCTAAAACCTTGAAACTCAAAAACCTTAAATCCTAAAAGCTCAAAACCTTAAAGCCCTAAACCCGAAAACCTCAAAACCCTAAACATTCGAAACCATAAAACTCAAAACCCTAAAATCTTGAAATCTTAAAACAAGACCCTAAATTCGAAAAATCCACCAAAACCCTAAATTTAATCCAAACCTTAAATTTGACTAGCAACCCCAAATTATCACTTGAAAATCATTCAAACCCTAAAAACCTCAGCCTAAGCCCAACCCAAAACCATCACAAAATTTTAAGGATTTGTATGAAAATCTCATATAAAATAATCTATTCTCGAATGTCGCCTAGAAAATAGGGTATTTAGAAATTTTTACTTTGTTAAATTTTTCACACATTTCCTTAACCCAAAACAATAATAAGTTTAAACAAAAGAGTAAAAAAATATATATCACAAAAATGAAATCTTAAATATAAATAGGTGTACCTAGACTTTACCTAGAGGTTAGGGAGTTCGGGTAGTCTCTTTATATTTAAAGATTTAACCCAAAAAGTGCATTTCATCATGTATAGCATCCATTGGTATAGATGCATCTATTTATTATCGACTGCACTTATTTCACATGTTTATACCCTTAATTATTGTTTGCTAGCTGATAGTACCATCATCGATTTTTTTGCATAAAATGTATTTAAAAAAATGTGTTATTTAAAATGTGAGATTTTGAAATAAAATTGAAATAGTATTTCGAAGAAAATAATTTTTTGTATTCTGCTTAGATATTGAAGAGAAACCAACAATTATTATTTGCAAAGAATGTGATTTTCATTTTCAAGGAATGTCATGGTGAACTTGGACAAAAATTATCTTTAAAATCAGCGAATGGAGGTTTAGTGCTCAAGTTAGATTTTGAGAAAGCTTTTGATAAGGTCAGCTGGAATTTTCTCCTGCACATTATGAGTCTCATGGGCTTCGGAAATAAATGGATTAGATAGATTAGAGGTTGTATTTCTCCAGCTTCAATATCAGCATTAATAAACGGATCCCCAACAAATCCTATCAAGATGCAGAAAGGTCTTAGACAGGGCGATCCCCTATCTCCATTCTTGTTTGTAATGGTTACAGAAGCATTGAGTCTTTTACTCAATAGGGCTGTTGACTTGGAACTCATCAGAGGAATAAATGTCGGGAATGGTGGTCTACAGATATCTCATCTCCAATTTGCAGATGACACTATTATTTTTTGTCAACCAAAATTGGAGCATCTTCTTACAATCAAAAGGGTTCCGGTGTTTCCAGTTAGCTGCAGGCCTGAAAGTTAACTTCTCAAAAAGTGCACTGATCGGAGTTAACATAGACTCACAGACTCTATCGAAATGGGCTAGTAAAATTCATTGCAAAATAGATCATCTGCCCATGAAGTACTTGGGGTTCCCTTTAGGCTCCAATCTGAGGTTAACATCTACAGGGCAACTTGTCTTTGAATCATTTAGAAATAGGCTAAACATATGGAACTATGGAAGAGTAAGTTGCTGTCTTTGGGTGGTAGAATTGCTTTGATTAGGTCAGTTCTAGCTAATCTCCTCATATATTATATGTCACTTTTTAAAGCTCTAAGAGGGGTCCTATTAGAATTGGAGAAAATGGAGAGATAGTTTTTGTGAGGAGACAAGAAGAATAAAAGGAATATGAGGCTAGTGGATTGGAACTCAATATGTAGAAGTAAGTATTTTGGAGGACTGGGTATTTTTAAAATGTTGCATTGTAACCAAGCAATGTTGTTGAAATGGTTTACGAGGTTTGGCAATGAGCAGAAAGCACTATGGAGGGCTGTAATTTGTGACAAATATAACCTGTCTGCTTAGGATTTATGGCCTGCTTCCTGTCCATCTCACTCACTTTCTCGGATATGGAGTGATATTCAAAACACTTGGGATGGGGGGGCTTCTCTAACATTATACAATCTAGTTTTTCTTTTTGTGCAGGTGATGGTGCCAATTTCGTTTCTGGAGTGACAAATGAATTCAAGGTCTATCATTAAAGTTGGCTTTCAGACGAATAAACTTTGTCGCCATTAATAAAGATGGTTTCATAAAAGACGATGGTGAATGGGACGGGCAAATTTGGAGATGACGAATTTTACTTCGAAAGAATCTTTGTGATTGGGAACTTGAAACCTGGAGGCAGTTTACAGCTCTTCTAAATTCTGTGTCACTCTGTAACAAAGCTCAAGACTACCTTATATGGATGCACACTACCAATGGCGTTTACTGACCCAAGTCTTTTCACATTCAGCTGGAGAAAGCCACAAATAACACTGTCTCTACAGAAAAATATATTTGGAAAGGTTTTGCCCTTCCTAAAGTTGAAGTCTTTTGTTGGAAAGCTCTAAAAGGTGGCATTCCTGTGATTGAGGTATTGCATAAGCGAGGCTGTCTGATGAACATGAAAAATAAATGTACTTTTTATGGTGAAGTCGAATCCATTGACCATCTTTTCCTCTTTTGTAATTTGGCTTGGAATATCTGGTGCAAGTGTTGCAATCAGTGGGGCATCTCGTGGGCTATTTCTGGTTTGTTCAATAGTCTTTTCGATTCGTGGACTTACCTCTCTGTTAAAAATCAACCTCAAATTATTTGGGATACATTGTTCTATGCTGTTGTTTAGTCAATTTGGTTAGCTCGGAACGAAAAAGTCTTCAAGCAAAAAACCAATTCATTTGACAATATCTTTAGTTGCACTAGACTGGCTTGGTAGATGAGTGCTAAATTTTCAGATTTAAATTCCCTGCCATCAAACTGTGTATCTGGCTTCCAAAGTATATCCATTCCCCTTCATAAAAAAGAATGCAGGAAGAACATCGAATGGTCTCCTCCCCCTGAAGCAGTTTGAAAATCAATGTAGAAGGATCAGCTATAGGTAAGCCTGATCCTGCAGGAGTAGGAGGCGTTATCCGCGATTGGAAGGGGAAAGTATTGCTAGTGTTTTCCAAGAATGTTGGAGTCAAGGAATCGAACCTAGCAGAGTTGCTGGCGGTTGTTGAAGCCCTTACTATTGTGGCTAATGCCAATCTGGATCCTTTGCTTGATATCATCATCGAAAGTGACTACAAAATTATTACAGTTTGACTCAACAAAGTAAGTGAATGTCTTTAGAAGTATAATGATTTGTTGAATAGGCTGTACAATCTCTTCGTTAAGGTAAAGAACATCACTTTTGTACATATTTTTAGAAAAATTAATTATTTTATAGATTTTTTAATTAAAATGAGAGTGCACAGATTTTATGATTTTATAATTTAACTGTAATATTTTAAAATATATATTTTATTTTTTATGAATAATATCTTTACTTCAATTTTTTTTAAAAATAATATTTTAAAATATAAAATTATATGAAAAAAATTATAAAATTTTTAATAATTACAATTGAAAGTAAAATATTTGGTTTTTTAGTATATTATAATATTATTGTTGTTTTTTATAATTTAATATATGGTTAAGTCGCCTACTAAATAAAATTTTCAGTACGCCACTGCCTAAGCACAGTAGGACAAGACCGTCCTTGCATTACTATTATGCCACGTCTTTGGTTTCTTGATTAATATATATATATATATATATATATATTTTTTTTTTTGGTCCCTTAGATTATTTTGGGGTGTCCAAAGTTAGGGGGGAACCACGCTATCTTCTTCAGAACAAACAACAGTACAAGAACTGAATATCGAGTTTTGCCCTATTTTTAACCTAGCCTAAAATAGTGTTATCTTATATTTGTCAAGTTTTGAGTTTTTTATTTTATATTGAAGTTGGTTTTTTTCATGTATTATTAATTAATTTTAAAATAAATATTTAATATGATATTAGGGTCAATTTTAATTTATTCTTCTTACTTGTTACTCTATCTAAATTTGTCATATGGTAACCTTGTTCACACATGAAAAAATCATAAAAGAACATTTGATTCATAAATTCTTAAATTTTGAAAAAAAATGATATTGAAAAAAAATATGTAATTTTTTAAATTTTGTTGATCTTAGAAAATGATGAAAATTTTGTGTTTAATTAGAAGATTGTAAAATTATCTAATAAAACCCTTTATTATATTATTTTTTATAACACTGACATATGTGAATAATATATGTTAAAATACAAACACAACGATGACGATGACAATAAGTATGATGAAATAATAAAATGTCTATTAAAGATATAAGTTAAAATTTACATTTAATAAAAATTTAAATTATTTAATATTTATAAAATTAGTAAATAATTAAAAAAATTAAATTATTTTTATATAAACAATAAATAATGAAAAGTTAATAAAAATAAATAATTTGAAAATATTCAAGTAAAAATAAAAATAAATTAACAAATAAAAAGTCAACAATATAAATTTATTTATCTTTTAAATAATTAAAAAAATAATAGCATGAAAAACAAAGAAAAACATGACGAGAAAAAGGGTCAAATATGGAACAGAGTGACGGTGAAAAAAGCAAGAGTTCAGTTAATATTTTAGCTCCAGTGAGGTCTAAAAGTTACCGTCGTGAGGGATACTATCCAAACGAATGCTAAGTGGACTTTTAAGTGTTATTCGCACCTCACCGCGGCTCCGGTAGAATCCAAATGAAGCCTTGGAGTTTTATTTCAATACTATACATGTATTGTTGCTAGAAAGAGGAGAACATAACAAAATTAAACCATAGAAAACCTTGGACGGCATTAGATAACATAAAGGCAAATATTAAGACAATCAAATCCAACTCTAGAAATTTTATTCTTTGTTCTTCTTTCTCCACAGCAGAATTTCAACCCAGAAAACGGCGTGTCAAATCATTAACAAGACTCTGCTCACGTTGATTCTCGAGGAAAAGCAGGGCGTTAAGCATCCTTAGTTCAGTAGCCTTTTTCTCGCTGGCTTCGAGTTTGGTTTCTGCTTCCATTACCTGCTGTCTCAAGAGTCTTGTCTCTGCCCTCTTCACTGCCACTTCCTCTTCAAGCTTTTCCACTTCTGCCCCAAACTGAAGCCATGAGCCACTGCCCTTTTTCGGAGTAACACTTGAACTGTGGGAAGAATAAGAGCTATGATAATCAGGAAGAGAGGGACACTCAATTTCAACTTTCAAACAAGAAATTGTTTATACACTCTCATCTCCACATTTTGCCCTCCTTTATAATTTCTTGTTTGTCAAATAAACTCAATTTTAGTAAGAAAAAATTTAAAATTTTGATCAGTGTTTTACAAAATATTATGTAAAATTAAATTTTTAAAAAATAAGTTTAAAAATTTTTAAAATTTATTTTAATTAAAAAGTTTATGGGTTTATGATTTTGATAAAAATAATGATCAAATTTGTGTTCGTTTGATGGAAAGAATTAACAAAAGACAAACATAAGGAAATATGTATGAAATGAAACTTAAAAATGATGAGGAATTGACAATCCAAAAGTGTTGAGAGAGTTGAGGGCTTAATTTGAGGTTGGTATGTTAAACTAACCTTATTTCTTTACTAATATCCTCCATCTCCTCTTTCAAGCGTTTGAAGCCTTCCTGCATTTCCTTCTGGGCAAAATGGGATTCATCAATTAATAACAGAGTTGAATGGATGGGATTTGTTAATATAAAAAATACCCGTTGCTTCTTCATTTTTGATGATTTCCTCTTGGGTAGTGCTGCTGCCAAAGCACTGTCATTTTTCTTCTTCCCTCCAGCAGTGTAAACCATCTTTCGCTGCTTCCAAACAACAGAGCAAAGCCTTAAACTTGAGGACAATAATAATCAACTCTGTTTTTATGTGGTCCCCTGAGTCCCTGACTGTCTGCTTTGTTCACCGGCCTAAACTTTAGGCCAAGCTAGGAAAATTGAATGAGGTGGGCAAATAATTGTCCAACTTGGAAAATTTTTAATTTATGATTATTTTGTATTCTTCTAAAAATATAAATATTTAATACTGAAAACCAAAGCATCCGCGATCGAATGTTTAGAAAGAATATTTATTTAAATAAGAATTATTATCTGTGCACGCACTATGAGAATTTCAGAACTCACAAACAAAATTAGATCCATTTATAGTTGTCTTACGGCCATTTAATAACTAATTGATTTATTATTTTTCATAAATATATTACAATATGAAACAAGTAATCTATATATTGTTGATATTATTATTAATAGTATTATTTATATTAGTATAAAATATTAAAAATAGTAATATTATTATTAAAATATTAAAAAATTTGTATTATTAAAATAGTAATATTTTATATTGAAAATATTTTTTATTAAATGATAGAAAATTTTGAGTTCTTTATAGTTTTTCTATTAAAGTAGTAACATGAAAACAATTGGCACTAAAATATTTAAAATACTATATGTTTTAAATTTAAAAATATTAAAAATAATTAAGAAAGATTCACATTAAAAAACTTATTATTAAAATAATTTTATTTTATTATTAAATAATATTCATTATTAAAATAATAAAATTATTATTTCTTATATTAAATTTATTATTTATTATGAAAATAATCCATATAAAATAAGTATTACTAAAATATTAGAAATGTTTATGTTAAATGATATTCAAAATATAAATACTTAAAATCAAAATACTAAAAGACTTTTATGTTAATATTTTTAATATTTTCAAATAGTTTTTAAAATAAATTAAATAAAAATATTTTATAATATAATAAATTTCAAATCGAATCAAATAAAGCGTTCACCAAAAAATTTATACCCAAAAGTCTGGATCAAGTCAAAGAAAGCTAACGGCCTAGGAGAGTGGACCTATTTATTGATAACTCTTATTTAAAATTGTTTTCTTTTTATGAAAAGAGGAATACAATTTCTATTAATCAATAAATCATTTTTTATTAATCAATTAATTTTCGATCAAATAAAAAATTATAAATGATAATCAACGTATAATTAAATAAAGTTATGTAAAAATACTCATATACTATATAAGTTTTATTAATTTGATATATAATAAAATAAAATTTTTATTTTGATATTCTAATTTTTATTTCATTAAGTACTCTGATATTTGACACTTGTTACTATCAATTATGTAGTTGAGGTGGCATGAATATCTATTAAAAATTATGCTACATATCATAAACATTTAATCATCATCACATTAGCTATTATCACATGAAGAAAAATAATTTTATTTTTTCTCTTTCCTCGACTCTTCTTTTTTCTCTTTTTATTTTTATTTTTTTGTTTTCTAATTTTGAATTAAATATATATTTTTAAAAAAATTTGAATTTTTTATTCAAATGCTAACATAAAAAATAAACGATGTCTAGATATTTATGATACATGCTATGATTTTATTAGATATCAATGTCATATAAGCAAGTTGACAATTAAATTAGAGTACCAAAATGTTTGATGAAATGAAAATTTAAGTACCACAAAAAGAATTTTATATCTTTGAGAACCAAATTAATAAAAAGTATGTAGTATATGGGTTATTTTTATATTTAATCCAATTAAATAAGTTCAATATAAAATTAAATCCAAATCACATACATCGGACTTTAAACTTTGAGACTTCAAAATATTAAAGCCTTTTCACCATGAGGACAAAGATTTGGTTCCATGAAAAAAGGTTCCATAAATCTTTTTATAAATTGGCTGCTTGCCCTGAATGTAGAGATGGGATAATCTCCTCTACTCCTAAATTTTTTAAATAAAAAAAAAGTTTGGCTCCTCTCATTTTTCAATATGAAATAGGGAGTCTTATTAATGGTCACATGAAAAGTCATATTAACATCAATAAAATCTATGGTTATTTTTTTATTATTAAAATTTTTTTATGTTTTTATTTATATTTTTTATCAAATAATAGTCTTTTTGTTTACAAGTATGACATGGCACTGTTTAGATCGTAAATTTGTTATGCTTATGTATTTTTAATTTTGGCTATTAATAAAACTCTCCATTTAATGTTAGAAAAGAGGAGAAACCAAATCATGAAAGCAAGGGTCTTCTTAGCAATTGAGTTTTTGTATTGAATGCAATAATGTGCTCAATTTCATTAAAGGTGTCAATTTTATCTCTATTCAATGAAAATTTTGAGTTTTTATTCAAATGAAGATAAAGATGAATATTATATTATAAGGATAGGATATATATGATTTTAAATTTTTTATTGGATACAAAGATATGAATAGATAATATAACACATATCTTGTATATATACTTATACTCTCTATATATATTTAATAAATAATATAAATTATTATTTTAGATTAATTAAATTAATATATTTTTATTTAAAATATATATTAATATATTTATTAAAATTTACATAAATATGTAGAATAAAAATAAAAATTTTTTATTTTTTATTTTTTGAAAAAATTGTAAGTATAGAAATTATTCATAATCATTAAATACTTATGAGAATAAAAATAAAAATAAATTTAAAATATTCATAAAATATAAATATAAAAATAAATATAATACAAAACATAAAAATAAAAATGAATTTACCTTTTTTATACCATACTCATTGGCATCTTTAAATTTCATTATAATTTATATTTGATCCTATAATTAAAAAAAAAAAGAAACATTCTTATTGGGACTTGCATATCTATGAGTTTCAATCACTTTCCTAAATCTAAGCAGCGCGCGATTTTCAATCAGTTGGACGCACAAATCGATCGATGTCGGCTGACGGCTCGCACCGTCTGCACTTACAATTAAATAAATAAACTATTTTTGTACTATAGCCGTGACTGATTCTATGAAAGAAAACAAAAGAAAAAAGTTAGTACTAGAATTTAATACAATATTATTTGGCTTCCTTCAACCAACCAACCAAAGTAGCAAACGATGTCTCATAATCAATAAATTTATTTGATTCTTCCTAGTTGATAAGGATACATATATGAAATTAATAATCGCTCGCCCTATTTTGCTTTATTTTGTTTCTTATGTTGTAGAAGGGGGAGCAGAGGGGTTTTATGGGGGCGGCTTGTAGGGTTTCAAATTTGCTTTCAATTTCACACCAATTTCACTAAGCCAAGACTACTAACCCACTATAATATTGTAAGCACGCAATCGTCGTATTATGGCCGGCCCTGAGGTGCATCAGAAAGAAAAACATTTACTTTGTGAAATAAGATTCGAGATTAATGATTTGGTTTTTTTTTTTTTTTCGCTCTCTTTATGTTTCTCTCAAAACTTCAACCTAAATTTTCAATTCATATTAGCAATCTAATATAGAAATTACCAAAACAGATATGCATCGCCTGTAAGGATTAAAATAAGAAAGGAGTCAAAAGTGTTACTGTGGATGTTTTAGAGTAGAAGCTGTAGCACACAATTGCTGGCTGAATGTTCTGAGGCCAAGGACAAAATAGGTGACTCGAATTTCTTACATGACGCCTTTCGCAATGTACAAAATGCCTAACAGGACAAAAGAATTTTACAAATCTTGGGCAGAAGATTGACGTATAGCCTTCTGCCGCCCTTAAATTTTCCGCTGTGGCTGGACGGCTCATCATTTGCGCCACTTTAGTTGTTTAACACCATAGTTTGTTGATCAGTCCAAAGAAGCTATTGTCGGTCAGTCTCTCATTCTTCTCCAACAATACCCCAATTACCAAAAAAAAAAAGAGAGTGGGGTATGGGATAATTTCTTGTTGAATTTGTGAATGCAAAGTATATGCCTTTCTATAAACAAAGGTAAGACGGTACCAATTTCAGATCATTGGCACTCCCTCACGCCCTTTCTGAATAGGGAGGGCCCTCAGGGGAAACTTTTGATTCAGTTTATTGTTTTGTGTTGTAAAGGGCAAAGGACAACGTATTGTCGGGGCTCAAAGGGGGCATGTACTACAAAACACATTTAGGGATGACCCGGCGTTTGGCAAAATACTAAGTCTAGTCAGCTTTTATTGGGAGAGTTTTGAATGAAGTCCTGCTTTGCACTACAAAGATAGATTAGTTGAAATAAAATTAAAATAATGATAAAAATAAAATTAATTATTAAAATGATAAGATTAAAATTAATATTAAAATATATATTTTGATAAAAAAATTAGTGATGGATTTTGATATTTTTATTTAAAAGAGTCAATTAATATTATATTATATTTTTATTAGATTTATATAAATGCATGCACACACGTTTAATATGCAAATAATATACTAATAAAAAGTAATTATCTTATAAAATTATAACATAAAAATATTAGTATGGTAACATTAACCTTTTAAGGATAACAAGAGTTTTAAATTAACGATGAAACTACTAATTAAACTATCTTTCAATTAATTATTATAATTTTTTTTAGAAATTTAAAATTGAAATAAATGAATATAAATAAATCAATTATTAAATAATATATTTTTATTAAAACAAATAAATTAATATAATTTTAAAAGAATGAAGTTGAAACTTTGAGAATAGGAGTTATGATTTTTTTTCCCTAACTATAAAGAAGTTCCAATCTCCCTCTTTTTTTTTTTTTTTGTTGAAAAAAGTTTTAGGATACAATGAGATAAAGATTTAGAGTAAAATTAAAAATGAAAATTATATATAGAGAGAATTTGTAGTAAGTTAGAAATAAAAAAAAAATACATATTTAATACTCGGTTGGAGATATAAAGTCTTGTTAAAAAAGCTAGAAAATTAATTTGATTTTTATTAATTTTACATGATTGTGATTTAAAATTTGTTCCAAATTTTAGATTGATTTTAAAAATTTATAAATAATGATTTATGGGTATAATAAATAGAAATATAATAATATAATTTTTAAATTTTTAAATTGCAATAATACATAAAAGTAAATTTTAAAACCACAAAAAATTAATAATTTTAATT